TTACATGTAAGGAAAGACTTATTAGGGCATTATCCCTGACAGTATCATTTTCTTTACCCATAACCGTCCAACCCAGTTTTGTTTTTGACTGCAGTTAAACCAGAGGGTAATTCTAGGTATTCGTCAGTTAACAGTTTACCAATGACATCTGCACCTATCAATAAATCAATTTCACTTTCCTCGCAAAATGTGTCACTGACCTCAATTTTCCTGCTTTTCAATTCCTCTATAATCTGAGCATTCTTGATTGTTGGAACAAATCCACATATCTTTTTTTCAGAAAAAGCTTCAAAACAACACCTAAAAGTGTTATCTAAACTGCTTATGTCAATAGCAAAAACAGAATGGGTTACAGGCGCAGTTTCCCTCCCCCCAAACAAACCATGAATTACTTTCTCCTGTCGAATAGGATCAGCCTTTCATTCGCTTCATAATTTTCTCCCCAACGTATGATCGTTGGGATCCCGAATCCAAGAGAATCCTAATTTTTCTCTCTCGATCTTTAACTTTAATTAGAACACATAAAGTTTGCAAATAAACTTTCTCGCTCTTACTATTATTAGAAAGGGAAACATCCAACTTAGAGTCATTTTGTTTTACAGAACTAACATTCTGAGGACACATAAATTTTATATGATCACAACTGCAAATGGGGACATTTAATATTGGCTTTACATTGGTTTTTTAAATGGCCAATTCTTAAACATGAAAAACAAACACCTTTCTTTTGTACAAGTTGCCTCTTTTCATTTAAGCTCATATTTTCAGCTTTAAAACACTTAGCACTCATATGAGGCTTACCACAGAATATACAAACATTTTGCTTACCTTTACTGGTTTCATTTGTACCAGCGCGACAGCTTTTGCTAAATCTGAATTACCTGAGATAACATTTTTAAGAACAAGTTTAATAAAATGAGTAAATCCTGATTGTGCTAATCTAATCATTTCTTCCGATTCTACTTCATGCCTTAAAAAACACATTAGTTTTTCAAGCGTTCTTTCAGAACTCTTTTCCTGTCCCTGTTCAGAAGTTCGACTCCGCTCCCAGGCACGTAGAATATTCTCAGGTAGGCACGACTCCACTAAAGGTCCCAAGAAATCAGCAAACTTTTCCTTGGTGCGTCCTAAGCTTTCCAGCGCTCGTAATTTACTTTCTATACTATCATAAAGTACTCCTAAGTCCGACGCCGTTCTGCCTGTTGTAGCATTCTTTGTAACAAGCCCAAGCAAATCTCTTACATAGATCTGCACCAGAAGGTCTTCTCTACCAAATCTTTCTTTCAGCTGCTCGATAGCTTTAGGATAATTCGCGGCGGTAACAGGAAAACTGTTCAAAAGTTGAGCTGCCTTTGAGCCAGGTACTGCACTTTGCACTAAGTACAAAAATTTATCTTCCGGCACAATATCCGCATCTTCATGAATTTTGGAGAATTGGCTCCAAAAGCCTAAAAATTCTCTTGCATCTCCAGAAAATTTTTTCAGTTCAAGTTTTAGGAACTTCCGTTTTTTATTTTCTTTAGGATCCGAAATCGAAACTGAAGCAATATCTGTAGTAACATTCATCGAATTCAATTGTCCAATTTTTATTCTGAAGTTTCACCTTTAAAGCTATAAAGGAATCTCTGTATCCTTCAGCCGTATTAAATTCATTCTCGAAATCAGCTTCCTTGGTTTGTTCTAAAACACTGCTTTGAGTACTGTCCAGGCGTTCAAATTTGTCAATTAGTTGCCCCAACAACACTTGCAATCTCTCAGGATCCGTACAAGTAGGCAATTCTTCTTCCACAATCTTCGTAGTTAACGTAAACGAAGTACGTTCACTTTTACGTTTTGCTTTTAACAAAACCCCTAAATCAAAGCTACTCGAAATCACACAAACGTCCTGTCACGGACGCCAAACTTTTATGTTGAAACTAAATAACATTTGCATAATCCGAGTTCAGAAAACAAAACATTTATTTTACATATTTTAAAGAAATAACGTTCTGAAACAAGTTTCATCTACACAATCAATCGACGCTCTCTCCAGAGCATTACGCCATCAAATTTGGCTCACATCCAAAAGTACAAATCGAAGAATTACAGAAGCGTTGTTGCCACACAAGAACCTATAGTTACAAAACTTCACACAATAATAAAACAAAAACACACTTTTGAAAAATAGACAATAATAATAAAAATATTAATAATAAAATTCTTAACAATATTTTCTAGATTATGCAACACTAATAAAATATCTTTTTTCTTTACCGAGCGGAGCCTAAATGCGAATCTAGAATTACGACAGAATATGCTATGTGTAAAACGCAAAACCTTTAAAATATCACTTTGGAATGGCAACAGATTCGCTGGGATAAATATGCAGCACACATATAACATAAAATTCAAAAAGCTGTAAAAAAATTTAAATCCGATTCAGCAATGGTTAAAATGCGTGCTTTGAAAGAAAATCTCGACATAAAAATGTAAGCTTGTCTTTTCGCATTCTCTGCTACTCTGTATTTTCGCAGGTATCAGATAGATAATATTTTAGTTCTTATAGGTAACTGCAATAAAAAAATCCTATAATCCCGGATTCGAGACTTTTTGCAATACCGGATTATTGATCGGAATTTTTATAGCAATCTCTCCATATTTATGTTATCCATAGGTTTAGGAAGAAAGAACTAAGTAGTGTAAAGGCCATAGCAGTGCGCATAGATGTTCATCGGAACATTTAATGGTTGTTAAAAGCATATGACGAAAAAACTAAAATATAGATAAATAAAACTACGAATTGGTTAGTTAAACGGAGGTATCTCTTAATAACTGGTATGCACTTGTATTTGAATTAAGATAACCAGACGTCCTGAATTTTAATGAAATATCACGTCCTAGAAAATTCCCGGATGCTAGAGCACTGTCGCGCTTTAAGATATATTCCGCAAAATTCCCAGAGACCACCGTCTTTAAACGATCTCCTCTGGAATTGACTAAGTTATTGTTTTAAAAAGACTCTTCAAAGTCATAACGAACTCAACCTCATTTACGATCGTAGCATGTGTCGTCATCATTACATAGAGAGAATTACGGGAAGTTTCGATCTTTCTTCCGCAGCAAACGTTTCCATGGTTATGAGTCATGATATGGGGAGAAGAAATGGCATTAACGTGACTATTCGAAAGTAACAGACTATAGTGTTTCTGATAGCATAAATAAGCATCGAACTGGTCCTCTCTAAGACGACCAATTTTTCAGAAGAATAAAATCGTTTAGAACTGTGGACAGTCATCGCAGAGTCTATCTTCTCTCTTTTGTTTCGAGAGGGGGGCGTCGAAAGCGACTGGATTAGGTTATTTGAATATGGCACTCAACTGCTATCTGCCTAAAGGTAGGGATTTCGTGAAGGAATTTCGTGGGGAAAAGGGTTGTGACAGCGGATATAAGGAAGTTTCTTAATTTTTTTAATGATATAGCCAATGGATCCTGCTGCGGAAGTTCAGGTTATGAAACGATTTGCGCTATATCAAAACTCTCAAATTAGAAGTTGCTACTTCTTTTTAGGTCACATAAAAACTTTCCAAGTACGTAGATGCAATACTTCTCTGGGTACTTGAATGTTGAAAAGTATATGAAAGTATTATTGTTTTTAATGCTATTGTTTTCATACGGAATTTTTTAATAAATCCTTTAAGTTTTATCATTCATGCTGTGCAGTTTTTGCTTTTATTCAAATCGAAAAATCGGATAAAGTATTTAAAGATTTCTAGTTTGTTGAAACATCATCCCGAACGCTAAAGGACTGCAGATGCTCATCCCATAAACTTTCTGTCATTTGGGGGGTTAGGTTATTTGAAATTGGTAAAGCGCACTAGAGATACCTGTCTGAAGGGAAGAATAACTTCGTGGTAGAATTTCTAAGGAAATTTCTTAATTTTTTTTCCCTTTACATTTAAGGAAACCCATGAGAACCGAACGTGCCCGTAACCAGCTGTCTTAACCACTCGCCCACTTGTAGAGCCCGGTTGGAGGGCCTAATTAAAGAGGAAGCTTATATTCCTTCTGTAGAGAAATTACAAACTTAAAAACTGAGGCTTTCAGAAGTAGTTCATAAAGAAGCAGTTCATGAAATAAAGAGCATAGGAACTAAGCATTTTCGTACTGTATGTTAATTATATTCAGAAACAAATATTTCCAATAGATTTTGAATTTTCCTACCTTGATTGTAACATTGCTTCGTCAAATAGTTCATACTAACTATAAGCACGTCTGAGAATCTGAGAGAGAAGATCAATTAAACATAAAAAGTCTGAATGAACAAAAAAAGAGTAAAAGTGTAAATGTCAAATTTCAGTCACAACCGGGCAGTTGATAGATGTCAGGGCAACGACAGATGAGAAGACGGAACAGATGTTAGATTATCTCTTGTGACATCTTCATCCATAGTATAAACCATCTCTGTTATCAATGCAGAAATGACCACTGAACTGTTAATAGATGTTTATGGGAACAGAATTGAATATTTAGATCGAATATTATTCTTTTGTCTTTGTTTAGATTATAAATGATTCTCACGTTTAATGTGCGTAAACTTGATGAGTTTGTTTTTGAACTAAATAAAATTACATGGTCCTATAGTTTGTATAAAAGTCTTTAGCTTTAAAAACATGTTCATCCTTTTTGAGAGATTTTGCATTTATTTTGTAGTTAAATAACTGGCTGAAAATTAACGTGTGTATTCTCTACAAGAAGATGCTTAAGAAGTAAAGATTGCGAAAAGTTATCTCTTTATAATTAATGTCAGTACTTCGTTACTGAAACGGCTACCGCAAAGTCCTTTGCAGAACATTTAAAATTTAGTTACTACAAATTGGGCGGTTAGGTTTGTCAACTAAGCCTAGTGGTCGCTTTAACAAAGAAGCAGCTTAACGTGTTCCATGAATCTACAATAAATTCTATTTGCTATTAGCATATGTAAGTTTACTTACAAAACGGTTAACCAATTTATTCTCTTCCAGACAAGATTTTGCGGGACATGGAGGACAGGTTCTACTTCGTGTCCCCGTCCAGCTCTGTCCAGCAGAGCCTGTCCGAGGACCAAGACGGAGAAGACGGCGACGAATGGGATGCGGATGAAATTGCCAACATCCCTGAACCACCAGATGGAGGATTCGGATGGGTCATCGTGGCCGCTTCTTTTCTGTGTAACCTCATACTGGATGGTATAGCTTATACGTTTGGTATCTTCTTTATGGAATTCGTCCGCTATTACGAAGTTCCGAAGGGTAAAGTGGCATGGGTTGGATCTCTTCTATCTGGATTCTATCTGAGTGTCGGTAAGAATATTTTGATATGAGAAGTGTTCTGACTTTTGTTTTACTGTAGACATTGTCTCAGAAGCGATAATTACAATTAACTGATGCTAGAGAACTATCCAAAGAACTTGAAATCAGACTCTAAGAAATAACATAGATACTTAACGATTAAGCATTGTAATTAAAATTTTATCTTGGGTTCTAATAATTATAATGTGCATTGTAAAGCGTAACTTTAAATATTTATATATAATTTTACTTATAAATGTATAACAGAAAGACGTTTGCATGGAAAAATTTAAATGGATTTGTATTTAGTTAAGCACTTAAGTTATTATTTTAATTTAAGAGCTCGTAAATATATAAAATGTATATACTTTTAATGTTTAATTTAGTTATGTTTTAAGAGTATCGTATATGTATTTAGATAAGTAAGTATGGGGTATGATATAGTATACACATAGATATGTACTGTATACACTTAGATGTGTTATAATATTGTATACACATAGATGTGTTATGTATTGTGTACACATAGATATGTTACTGGCAATGCATGAAACGCCGGCATTTTATAGAATACCTGGCATCTTCAGGTAAATTATGAAGTTGAGAATTATTATATTTTATACCTAGGCATTCTGTAGAATGCCAAATGCTCCTTATGAAAGTATTAAAAAAAGGTAATGTTAAGGCTACTATACCAAGGACATTCATTTTTCAAAAATATAAATACTATTTTGAAAAAATAATGAAAGATTGCCATTAAAACACTTTTATTCAAAATACATAAAACAAAAATAGTGAGATGGTCTTGGTACACCATACTGGCTGAGACTAGAAATCAATATCATATATCTGCACATCAATGGCCTCTTTAATAATTTTTTTCTGGCAGGAGTCACAAAGGTGGATGTACAGTTCAATATAATTCCGAGTAACGTTTGTGTATTTGATTCTGTGTGTGTTCTTTCAGTGTTCTGTTACGTCCTCCATGTCCAATAGCCAGACGAGTTTCATGAAGTACAGGAAATAACTCAGTGTCCATGATGTAACATCACAGCAATTCAGCAACCAAAAATCCCTTAGTTTCATATTAGTAGTCATTTTGGCCTCCCCTTATTTATTTATTTATTTATTTTTTTGCTTTATTTAGTAGTAATAACGGTTAATTATAGTTCGACCGTCTCAAGCGCAATCTTGGTTGGCATTCTGTCCAAAACACATAGACTCGTCCAAAATTACTTGCTGCGACGTGAAAGGTCTTCTCTTCTCCGGAAAACGCTATGCTGGAGGGAAAGAAAGTCCCCATCCTTCCACCCTATTTTGAGAATAATTCGGCCCGACTGGCGCATGTGTGTTTGCGCTCATGGTCGCGGATGAGGCGGTCAAACTATACTAGTAAGTAATTACGGTTATTCGAAAAGAATCGCAGATGTTTTCATGCTTTGCCGGTTTGTCATTCGGGATTCTAATAGAATGCTTATGCAGTGTGTGAAATGTTTAATCGTTTCATATATTGCCAGACACTTTTTGGCATTCTATAAAATGCCGAATTTCATACCTTGCCGGTATACATACGACATATATGGGTCTTACTGTCATAAGTATACTATTGGATATTTATTCCGTAAACCCAAAAGAGTATTGTATATGATCAGAATCTCTGCCACCGCCATACTACTCCACATCAAAATTTAATCTACTGTTAATATGCGCCCTTAGGGGCTTCGCGGGAGATATTAGTATATCCAAATCATGGAGGTAGGAAAGGGAGGAGGGGCCATTCCGCGCTAGAAGTGAAGCACTGCTTTGAAGCTTGGGTCATCAGACTGGGTGTTCTTTGTTTACTTTCAGAAGCTCGCTTGACAAGATTCTGATAGTATTTCGACACACGACAGTTCCATAGAAATTGAAAAAGGGACACTCTCGCATGAAAGAAACATTCATAGTGTGATGGATAATAGCAATTTGTATAGTTTACTGACATTTACGCAAAAATCACATAATGGTTATTTTTCGATAACTAACAACAGCGATTTTGATTATGAATTTGTTTTATAAAATTCTAAGCTGTTGCACTACAAAAAATATAGATTTTAAGAAAATTGCTAAAAGAGATCTGCCAAAATTATTTTCTAGAAGATTTGAAAAGTTTGAAACTTGATGGCTAAATGTAAAAATAAAATAAAATTATGTATGTTAAAATATTTGTAATTAGGCACATAGGTCAGATTAAGTTTTTATTAAATAGAGTAACGCATGCAAAGGCTATCTGCCTAAAGAGAGAGATGCCATCGTGGAGGAATTTTGAAGAAAAACTGACCTTTGAGTGGGTATTAAAAATAATACTTATAATTTTCATTCAAATTATATTCATATATATTTTTTATATAAAACTTTCGGGTGTATGCTAAATTAGTGTAAATTACTTTACACGTAAAATATGAGTGAATGCACAGAAATTAAAAATTTGCACATGCAGGAAATGATAAATAGGAAATATGTATGGGTATTTATGCATGCGCTTGCAAAAAGCATGTATCTGCCTTTGACAAAATACTTAAACATTCATTAAATTATTTATAAATGTATTTGAAATGAAGAATTTATTCACTTATAAACAACTGTGAAAGTACTGTGAAGAAATCTAATGATTAAATGTATCTAATTTATAATGATTATAAATGTTATCTAAATATATAATAACTTTAATATTGAATTGTAAACATAAATTGAAATCCTGTTGACAAATACGTTATAAAACTATTTAAGCAAGAATTGTTCGTATATGAAAGCAATCTGTTAAAAGGTATTGTAAAGCAAATGCTATGAGATTCGCACTTAAGAACGTAATAAAGAGTTTTGGAATATGTATTGTTGAAATGAAGGGTAAAAAAAAAAAATCTGATAAGTATAATTAAAAGAATTATTCCCTTTACATTTTATAATAACTCAGTTACAAGTTTTAAATAATACTTTAAAAAAAAACTTATTTTATTCCCTTTCAAAAATGTTCAGAGAAAGTCAAATACTATTTAATTCCTAATAATTCTCTAATTTAAAATGAACCGAATAGAGCATTAATTATAAAATGACTTACATTTTTCGATTTAAAAGAAGCCAAAAAATCATGTCATATTTAAGAAAGTATTTTAGGAAGAAGCGCTATAAATAGAAAAGAAATAATGCATAATTTTAATATTAATAATACAATAAACTTTGATCTTAATGTTTGTACCTTAACCGAATAAAATCGAATTACCTTAATTTTTTTTCTAATGTAATTAACGAAAACTTGTGAAAATATTTCATTCAAATTAAACCATTCTGAGAAAACTGTCCTGTGAAAAGTATATAGCATTTAATTCCGTTCAGAATGAAATGTTGTTTAAAAATATGTTGTTTTCACATACTTAGGACTCTGAAGTGTTGTAGAAAAAGAAAATATATACATTTATATGTATATTTGCGACGTAATTACAAAATATTTACACCCGAACGCGTCAAATCCCATAGAACTCAATGGGAAATGACCCAATGTTTTGGTCACCACGTAGGGATCGCCGGTGCTTCAGAGCAGGGTACGGAGAAACTTGTTTAGGGCGACTCCATCTTACTTCCTACCTCCATGATCCAAATAGTGTAATTGCAAAAATGAAGCAATTGAGGATCTGGCCTTGGTAGAGGGAGGTTAGATCATAAAAGCTTTGAAATATCCAAATCTCTGACTATCTTCTGGCATTAAAGGCTGTGATGCATATTTGTTCCTGTTTTTCTATGTTATTAAATAATAGATACGTTATAAGGTATTTCTGTCGCCTTCTTGGCATGCCTTCGTGGTGTGGTGGCCTGCACGCTGGACGCGTATTCCTGAGGTCTATGGTTTGATTCTCGGCAAAAGTGTTGCTCATTTTTCATCTTTCCTGTTTTAAAAATACCTAATGTCTTTACAGTGGCGCCCGAACTAAAAGGGTGTTGGATGATGATTCTTCACATCCAGGATTTGGCTATTGGGTCCGCTAAAATCCCAGTCACACTTTAAAAGGGGGAGTATAATGATTATAAATGTTATCTAAATATATAATAACTTTAATATTGAATTGTAAACATAAATTGAAATCCTGTTGACAAATACGTTATAAAACTATTTAAGCAAGAATTGTTCGTATATGAAAGCAATCTGTTAAAAGGTATTGTAAAGCAAATGCTATGAGATGCGCACTTAAGAACGTAATAAAGAGTTTTGGAATATGTATTGTTGAAATGAAGGGTAAAAAAAAAAAATCTGATAAGTATAATTAAAAGAATTATTCCCTTTACATTTCTCTCGCCGCCTTGGCATGCCTCCTTGGTGTGGTGGTCTGCACACTGGGCGTGTATTCCAGAGGTCCGTGGTTCGATACCCGGCGAAGGCGTTGCTCATTTTTCATCTTTCCGGTCTCGAAATAACCTAATGTCTTTACAACGTCATTATTTTTACCAGTGTAATTTTAATATTTAAATTTCTCAAACTGTCTATCTTCAGGTGTTTGATTCGCATTCCATAGTCAGGGCAGTGTTTCCGTCGCTTCAGTAAGCTTCGCCAATTATCATGATTCATTAAATAATTAATTTGTTTTGAAACACTTAATCATTAATTTGTTTTGAAACACATGATGTAATCAGCGGTTCTCAACCTTTTGATTAACGCTTACCATCTAAACAAAAACTGAAAATCTTTAATACCACCACTACCACCACCACCACTCTTGAACAAAGCTCAGATCACATAAATTTACGAGTCTTAGAGAAAAAACAAAATTAGGATGTCGGGGTTTTAATTTTTGAATTTAATAGTTAAAAAAAATCTGAAAGGTTTCAGATTTTAAATTGCGTCCAAAGGAAAGTTTCTTTAACAATTTGTGTGTTACCTTTATTTATTAAATATCATGTTCTTCGAGCTTAAACCATAAAATTCAGTTTAAGAGCAATATCGCAAAATAATTTTAAATTGAGCCTAACTTCAGAATTCCCGATTT